CTAATAACCTATTTGTTGGAAAGGACAGTGAAGATGAAGGATAGAACTGGAGAGAATGTCAACATCTAAGGAGTGAGACGGGGAAAAGGAATACTCTGTGAAGACCAAGAAGTAATAGCCAGAGTAATAGAGGCCCATTGGCAGAAATTTCAAAAAGAGAATGCTCAGTACAGCCAATTACAGCAGAAACATTTAGCAAAGTAAGGTCTGAGTATTCAGCACATATGCCACTATGCAGGTCATTGGTGTCTTTTGCTCAAGCTGGTTCAGTGATGTATGCAAAGTCAGTTTCCGGTGGTTTGAGGAGCAGCTAGTTCCAGTAAAACTGTGCTAACCCCAACTGAATGTGTTCTGTAGCAGAATGGACCTGTTACCAGCTCACTAGTTGGAAATGTGTTTTTAGTCCTACTTCCTCTGATTATTGTAAAATTTCAAAATAATTCAATGGGGCTATTGGATGGAAGCAGGGGTGGGTGAAAAGCATTCACCCATGCATAGGAGGAATGTTCCTGAAATGCCACTTATGATTACAAGAATCAGAAGGGCAAAGGAGTATTTCTTTCAAGTCTGGCATAAAATCTCCTTCAGAAATATTAAAATATGGGAACCCTGCAGAATCCATCTTGCATTTCACTCTTTTCCTGTTTGCTTGTTAATGAATATATATACTAGATTGTCAACCATGAGCAGAAAAATATTTCCACTCGTAGCATGCTATTTGCATGAGGGTGGTATTGTTTGTGTCATGGAACCTGTGACCTGTCACATGTGATTAGCATGTCAGCTTATTAACATGTCAGGGAGTACAACTCCTGGCTTCCACCTCACAGGGGAAACTTCTTAGGATGGGGGACATTCTGCTAGCCAGATGAGGCAGAGTTCTGCCAGCTTCTAGTGCCAGGGAAACTCTGGACAGTAATCAATACCAAACCTAACTATGAATAGGACCACCCAAGGGCACCTGGCTGGGAACCAAACCTCCTTCCTACCTTGGTCTGATATCTTGGCAGGTTTTCTTGCCAGTCCCAACTGTATTCTTACTTACTTGGGGAAGAATCCAAAGACAGGCATTATTTTAAAGGGGATGGGGCAGAAAGAAGGGTTGGGAAAGAATTCTTGGCTGCTGGAAGGTCATGAGGAAAAGATTCTGGTTTGTCACATCATCCAGGGCTTCAAATTTTTAATAAATATTGATTGATGGATTGGAGTCAAAGCAAAATTTTGCCATGAAAAGACAGACCTACGCATATGCAGAGATTTTGAATTAGAAATGCTCTCCTTCCAACTCTTCACAAAAGGAAATCACATGGGGAAAGCAAAGTAGTGATTAAGGAACTAAACAGGCCACCACAGGGCTTTCTCTGAGGCCTTCTAAGTCCCCAGGCCAGGCCTGCTGCCTACTTGGGAGATGAGCTGATGAGCACGTGCTCTTCGCCACAGTTTCTCCTCTCCTGACATCTTTCTGCCAGATGGTCTTTTGCAAATTCTGGAGGTCCTTGCCCTCCTGTTTCCCGTGACCTGAGCCAAGAGAAGTTTGGCCCACCAATTTTCCCTTTACTGCACCCCTCTAGTGAGCAGGGCCTGGCGCCTGGCTGGTAAAAAGAAACCAGGTTTGAAGACCTCTGGTGCACTGAGAAGGAGCTCCCTGGAAGGGCTTGGAGCTGCCAGAGATGAGCATCACACTGACTCCCAAGGTCCAGAGAAGGCCTTCTCAGGCCCTGCCAGCTGGTCTCAGGAACTGCCTTTGGCCCTTTACCACCCTTTACCCGAGAAATGTGCTCTGTGCCAGTCTTGAATTTCCCTGTAGGATTAGCCCAATGGTTTTTAATTACAATCCAAAATCTTAACAAATTACAAATGTTGTGTGTAAACATAATCAGTGTGAATCCAACCCACTAGTAATTGTTAATAGGAAAAAAAAGGAAGAAAAAAACACAAAGACCTAAACACGCACACACACACAAATTTTGCAGGGTCTATGCCTGAATTTTTGCTTCCTTGGGGTCTCTCCCAGAGTGTCTCTTCAGCCCACCACTTGCCCTGACTCCCTGAGGTGATATACAGAGCAGGGAGTGGGGTGGGTAGGAGTCAGGCTGAAGGGCTTTGGGGCTTGGATGCTGCAGCTAAGGTCTTCCTAACATCCTAGGAAGGAGTCAGGCTGAAGGGCTTTGGGGCTTGGATGCTGCAGCTGTCTTCCTAACACCCTAGGAAGGAGCCACCTTTCTAAAGAAAGAGCCCCGGTGGCCTCCATAGATTTGGGGAGGAGGGGGGAATCACCCCTGAATGTCAAGAAGCTACCCTGCACCTGCTTTGAAACCCTGTCCTTACACCAGCCAACATCCCCTGGGCTCCTTGGGAGTCTCTGAGTTCCAGCTTCTTGCTAAGGAAGACATTTCTACCACTCCTCACCCCACCCCTGAAGTCCTCCAAGGCTACCCTGTATCCTGGGTCCTGGAGCTGGCCCCTGGACCTCAAGCTCCTAGAGCCACAGAAGGAGATTTGCTGCCTGCAGGGACCAGCTGGGCACCAGCACCTGGTATTTGGGCTCTCAACCTGGAATACATTTTAGAAAATATCGTGCACAGAAATTCACTTAACATTATATGAATGCATACATACACACATCCATACCTACAAACACACACACATATTTGATCGACAAGTGCCAGGAGAGTGTGTCTGATGTTTTTGTTTAACCGTTAGAGTTAGAATCCTACTTGGTCTTGGTATGACTGGTTGCTGTTATATGAATGACAAATGGATGATAAAAGCGCGCCCGGGTCTCTGGAGAACATGGAGGACTATAAGTGGAGATTTCCAATTATATTTCCCACTACCCTCTCTGACCTGTCTTCCCAGTGGTTACCCCTCGATCTCCAACAAGGCTGGCTGCACAACCTTACAAGGCAGTTACCTCCGAAGTGAGATGGCTGAGTCTCCAGGAAAAGCCACTTGTCCCTGCTGTCAGAAGCCCCTGATTGCTTACTCAGACCTTAGCCACGAAGGGCAGTTTGGCCCGGGTCAGAGAAGAAAAGAAAGGTTAAATTGTGACTGTGTAAATGAAGTAGGAGAAAGGGGAGCGCTTGGGCCTGCTCTCTTGGAGAGATTGGGGAGGCTGATCCTGCTTGGGAACAAACCCAGCAGAGCCTGGCGCTGCGCTGAGCGAGGGGAACAACAGCCCCTGGGTCCTTTCACCTTAGCGCATCCAGCAGGACGCGGGGAGAAAACCTCTTTGCGCGATTAAGTCGTGTCGGTGGAGACGGTGGGGCCGACACGTGAGGCGCTCAGCTTTGCCTCCCCGAAGCAGCGGTGTTGGAAACCCCCGCGGAAGGCACCCCAGTTATCAGTGCTCCCCCTGGGAGCGGGGCCCACCGGTTGCGCGCCGGCCTCCCACCAGCATCCTGCTCGCGTGCACGCCGCTCGCACCCACCCAGACGCCGTCAAGATGTTTACTGCTCCGAGCCGGGCCCGCTGGGGAGACGCTGCGAGGGTGCGGCGCACCGCTCGGCGCTGGCGGGGCTCTGGGCTCCCGGCCGGGGGTGCGAGCGAGCGGGGAGGGGGGCGCAAGGGCGAGGGGATGGAAGAGGAGGGGGGAGTGGGTGGACTAATGATGAAAAAGTCTCCTCCAACCCGGCTCCTTAATTAAATGCATGGAAAGAACCGAGGCGAGCACATCTGGTTTCAATCTGCAGCCCTTTGATGGCATCAAATGTTCTTTTCCCAGATCAGGGCTGGAAGTGCTGGGCTAACTATGGCCGTTTGGAGCCCAGAAACCATTCACACACACTCGGACCCTTCTTCCTCTCCTGTCGAGTCACTCCGTTGTAGGAGAGAGGAAAAAAGAAAAGGGAAAAAAGTCTAGTAATCAAGGGCGTGTGTGTGTGTGTGTGTGTGTGTGTGTGTGAAGAACATAAAACGCCACAAATAAGCACTTAATATATTACTTACTCGTCATATAGTAACTCATTTCTAATGAGACTATTAAAGTTGTTACTAAATTCCAACAGGTCATGAAAAAAATCGCTCAGCACCTCTCTGTCCTCTGTCAAATTAGGGCTCAGCAGACAGACGACAGAGCATTATCCATAGACATGGGAGTGAGTGTGTGTGTGTGTGTTGGTGGGGTGTTCCTCCACCCCCCCTCCTTAGTCACCCAGTCTGGACCCTGAACTTCGGAGAAATGTCACCCCGCCGCTCACTCTGGGAGTGCCCCAGCTTCCTGGGCATCTGGTTAGCATGACCCTTTTGGCTTAGCGCGGTCACCTGGGAAGCGACCTTGGCTGCACCAAAGAGGCTAAGAAATTGGCCAGGGTGAAGGGAGAGGGGAGCAATTACGACAGACTCCTTGAGTTCTTTCCTGCAGCTAAATAGATATGTAAATGTCTACCTGCCCTGGCCAGGGGCACCTTAGCAGTGCCCTAACCCTGGAATCCACTCGGTGCCTTCTAGATCTCCCCCAATCTGCCTTCAGTCCGCCGAAGAGGCGTGGGAGAGCCTCCCATTATTATCGCTCCTGTTATTTTATTACATTATTTAATAGGCTGTCTCTACGGAGCCAAATATAACCTTAATACGTTCGCTTTCTCCCTGGTTCTCTCTCAGACGCTCCTCCACCCCCAGCCCCCAAAACCGTTAGAACAGCAGGAAACATTGAAAAAAAAAAAAAAGAAAGAAAGAAAGAAAAGGGAGAAGAAAATTTTTGATTGAGATAGTTGTGGATTTTTTCCAACAAGTTTCCCTGCAGCTGTTATCAAAACATGCAAATGAGATTTTCCAACAGGATCTTAAACAAATCTGGAGGAGTTAATGCCGAAGCAAAATAATCAGCCCCGTTTGAAGTGACTGCGGGTTTCAGTTTGTCTTTTCTCAGCGAGATACTATAGCAGGGAAATGATAATTAGACCTTTACTTTAAAAATCCGAAGGGGCTCTCTGGCTTTCCCTTCCCTCCCGTTGCTCTCCCTCCTCCCTCCCTCCCTCCCTCCCTCTCTCTCTCTCCCTCTCTCTCTCTCTGGCTCAGATGTTGGCAAAGGGGGTTTTCTTAATCAGACTGTTTTTTGGTCCGAGGGAAAGGAGGAAGAAGGAGATTGTGTTGGAGAAAGGGGTCTGTAAAACGTCAGGCACGGCACAAAGGCTTTGCCACGTAATTACAGGCTCCTATTAAGTCGAGATCTGCCCTCCCAGGGGTCTCCAATTTTCTTGTATTCCCTACAAAGCCTCCTCTGCATGCCAGTTTGTGCCTTTTGAAGTGCCAGAGAGCTTCTTGATCCAACTGAGAAGGAAAAAGGAGCTCAGCAAGAAGAGGGGGAGAGAGAGAAGGAAAAGGGGGGAGACCCACCACCACCCTCCTTCGGACTCTTGAAGCCCTTTTTTTTTTTTTTTTTTTAACTCCTTAGGAAAAGTAAAGTGAGAATCCTGCTCTCCAATACATCTGCAAGACATCACCCTCTCCTCCTGAAACTTTAGTCACTCCTGAGAATCCACAGGAGTGCAGAGAGGGGGAACACTTTTCTTGAAGATGTTTTAAAGCTGGAACAAGCCTTCTTCTGTTGGTGCTTGAACTCTTGCCTGGGAATAACTTTTTTAACCTTAAAAAACCACTTTGATTCTTCTCTCCCACCCCTTCTGCTCTCTTCTTCTGTTTGCCTAACTCCCCCGCCCTGCTGGCCTCCCCTCTCCTCCTCTCCCCCTTATTATTATTTTTAGCGTGTGCGTGTGGACGCTTTTGGAGAGCTGGAGGGGATTTTTTTCCCTCCTGATTTGAACATAGGGTGATTTTTTTAATTTTATTTTTTTGGTGTGGATTATCTCTTTGGACGGAGCCGGGCTTGGCCTCGGGAAAGCAACCTAGGCTGAGGAAGGCTGCTGGTACAGGACTCTGTGCTCTGCAGAAGGGGGTCCCCCCCCTTTCCACTTTTTTTTTTTTGTCCATCCCCTTCTCTCTCTCTCTCTCTCTCTCCACTCCCCCCTCTCTCTTCCCCACTCGGCTCCTCTCCCCCCCTCGCGCCCACAGCGTTTGGTGTTGATTCGAGCGGGAAGAGGGGGGTGGGTGGGATCGGAGGGGGAGACCATGACCTCCAGCTACGGGCACGTTCTGGAGCGGCAACCGGCGCTGGGCGGCCGCTTGGACAGCCCGGGCAACCTCGACACCCTGCAGGCGAAAAAGAACTTCTCCGTCAGTCACCTGCTAGACCTGGAGGAGGCCGGGGACATGGTGGCGGCGCAGGCGGACGAGAGTGTGGGCGAGGCGGGCCGGAGTCTACTGGAGTCGCCGGGACTCACCAGCGGCAGCGACACCCCGCAGCAGGACAGTGAGTTAGGGGCGTCAGCCCGCGGGGGTGTGTGTCGCAGACCCAGGGCGGAGGTCCGAGCTGGGCGGCTGGAGGCCGTCCGTGGCCGGGGAGAGAAAGTCGGGACGTGGAGAGGCGGCAGCAGTGGCAGGCGCCAGGGCCGGTCCCGGACTGGGGGTGAGGGCGAGAAAAGAGCGCTCGGCAGAGCTCGTACCCCGGGGCAGATTCGGGAGGGGAGCGCCAGGGTCCCGCCGGCAGAGTGAGGGACTCGTCCCGCCGTGGACCTTCGCTGAAGTCCGCGGGGCTGCCCCTTCTTCCCGGGCGAGCAAGGCAGAAGGAGCTTCCCGAAAGCGAGACTACGGGGCTGGGAAAAGGGTGCAAACTCGGGGAGCCCTGACCAATTTGTTAAAGAAAGCGGGTTAAAGATGCTGAATCGGGTCGGGAGGAGTTCTCCTGAATCGCAGTTTGGGAGCAGACCAGACCGAGGTGCAGAGGGCACCGCTCACGGGGAGCCAGATCCGCGCCTCTTTGGCCGGGCGCTGCGCCTGGCATCCGAAGCCTGGAGCGTAGGGTCCGCGCGCTGGGGCTCCTGGCGTGAGCGGCCAGGGTAGCTCTAGGCTCCCCGCTGTTGCCTCCACCTGCAAGTGGTAGGAGACCCCCGACAGAATCAAAGGTCTGAATAACTCAGGAAGACTCCGCCAGAGCTAAGGGAGTGCCATTAAGGGTGAAATCCGAGCTTCCATAGGGCAAGATCCCACACAAGAGAGAGGTGTGGGCCTCTTGGTCTCCCAACGCTGAACCCGGTGTCACTCACTACTGGCCCCGAGACCTCCAGAAAAGTCCATGCACCATCTCCCTTCCCCAACGGATTTGCCCTGCAAGGAAATCTCGCCTTGCTTGTCAACCTAGGCAGCCGTAAAGCATGACACAGAAACCTCCCAAATCTGTAACAGACCTGTCACCTGACTCATCCCAGGTAACATGGGTTGGATACTTCCTCCTTGAGGCTGCAAGAATCTGAACTCGGCTGGAAGTTCTAGAATATGGCAGCTCTCTTCCCTTGGCATTATTTGCTGACTGTTATTTTGTACAAGTTTGAAATCTGTAGCACCCTCCGGCACTCTGTTTTTTAAAAAAAGTTTGCCAATCTCAGACACTCAGAAAATAGATAGAAAAAGCAAACTAAACCTAGAACAATTGGAAGCAAGACCTGGGCAAAGGGGTGGGAGATCAGCCAGCTTGGCTGAAGCGGGCCACAGGGAGAGCTCCTCTCTGGGATAGGGCTACAGTCCTACTCCCTGCTTCTTTGGTTGAGACCTGGGCCCCCCCTCAGTGTTTTTTAGCCATCAGTAAACTGGGGCTGATCGGCCTTAGCTCTAGGGTGGTGATGAGGGCTCTGACTTGAGGAATCTGGCCTTGCCTGTCACTAGGGAAAGACCCCGGCTGGAAGGAATAAAGACCCAGCTTCCCCAAGTCTAAGTAATGGCTCGGCACAGTGAAGAGACAACCCGGGCTGTGGAGGGTATTGGTGTTTGCATAGACACTCTTACCTCCAAGAAAATACACAAGTTAATATGACCAATTTATTGCAATACTAGGGAAAACTAAAATATACAAAGACTAGGGAGAAGAGTACAATGAATCTCCATGCCCCTATCATCTATCTTCATTAATTCTGCACATTTGCCATTCCTGTTTTTACTAGTAATTATTAGCCACAGGATATCAATATTCAGAGAGCTGAAGGTTGGACTCACAAAGAGCATTTGCTATTTAGGGTTATCAAGAAACTGCTGCATAGAAGACCAGGGTGGGGCCAGAGAGTCTAGACAGTGCCACTTTGCCCCAAAAGGAGCAGAAGGATGTGAAAACAGGCCCAAGGTCAGAAGCTACGGCAATCCCAGGCCCAGGCTGGCAGGGGCAGATACCAATTCAGGCAGGACTGGAGGGATGCTGATTGTTCCTGTTGTTTGGTGAATGGATGCCAGGAGAAGGAAGCTCAGGTTAGTGGTCCCTGAGCCTGGTAGGGGATGAGAGTGGGGCTGGAAATTGCCCCAAGTTGAGGCTGAGGTGACATGCCATGGCAGAGAAGTGGCCTAGGATGGCTCCCATGTGACCTGGGCCTGCCATAGCCCAGGGAGCATGGAGCATGTGGAATCCACCAGGCAAAGGGCAGCAGCAGCAGGTGAAGTTGGAAACTGTGTCCCAGGAAAAAGGAAAAGATCTCCAGCAACTGCTGGCTTGATCTAGGGCACTTCTCTGAGTTATACGGAGTAGCAAGGCCTAGTGGGAAGTGGACCGCCCAGAGGAAACTGAAGTTTGGAGCCCAGTCAGGGAGAGAATGTTTGAGGAATGATAGTTGCATGACACAGTGAAGTGACAGCGACAAAGTGACCTCCATCTGGGACTGGGGAAGGAGAGCGTGTGTAGACACACACACACACACATACACAACCAGGTCTCACTTTCCTTAGAAGGCCCTGGTCTATTCTTCTAAGAGACAGTTGCTACTTTTAAAAGTGATATTTCTTCATCCTCCTACCCCATTTCTGGGATGAGAATAAGAGAGTTTGGTAAGTTGGGCAGTAGTAGTGTCCAGGAAAACCATTTTCCCTTAGTTCTTGGGCCTGTGTAAGGGACTGCTGGGGAGGCTGTTATGAACTACTTGGAAGTCAAGACCAGAGGAGCCTCTTTGAAACTCCAAGCCCATGAGGGACAGAGTCTATTCCAGTACAGGAACTGATCACCTCTGTTGGAGCATTGGGAAACGTTTAAAAGATGTTTATTTTTCCAGCTATAGGGAAACAGATCCTTCCGAAAATTTCCTTTTGGCTGAAATTAGTAAAATAGAATCCATTTGCACCTGCAGTGTTAGTTCATTAATATTGCACATTTTCAAATTACAGCCTGGCAGGAACTGAGCAAAGAGGAGTTAAGTATTGTGCAAAGGGAGGACTCCTGGCTTGCTGGTCTCCTGTAGTCCCCACTGAAATTTTGCTTCTCCTTGTTTGATATTCAACCCACTTTCTTCTCTGTGGAATGATTTCTTTCCTCTCTTACTCTTTCTCTTAGCCTAGGAAATCTCTCAAGCCTCTGGGTTCGAATACCTAGGTAGTATTTAAAGAAATGGTTTTTAGGCACTGTTAGGAATCCAGTGGCTAATGGAGGACTGTGGAGTGTGAAGGGGGATGGTAGAAGGGGGTATCAGGGAAAGGAAAGAGGAACAGGTTATAAAAATAGGTAGACCTATTCCTAGGAGGACGGCGCATCCCGCTGTCATTTCTTAATCTGTACTTCTGCAAACTCTTAAAAAAAAAAAAAAAAAGCGCCTGCTTTCCACGTTCCCAACCTCGAAATTAGTGAAACCAGATTGTCCTAATAAGACCTTTTGTTGGAAACACATGTAGTCATAAAAAGGTAGACGGAAAGTCAATTAGACACGCGCGCACACACGCACACACTCACTAGCCGGTGCTAAGTGTGCACCGGGCGCAGCTGGGCCCCGGGGCTGCGCTGGCCGCAGATGCAGAAGAGCGGCGCGGGAAATCCATTGGCCACAAAGAGAGAAGTGTCAATGCGGCGCCTTGGAATCGGCCTTTACACTCCTCCCCGCCCAGCTCCGCTGATTCCGCGTTCCCAGAGAAACGCCCGGAGCAGTGGGAACATTCTCGAGGGCTCTCCCCAGTTGAAATTCTCATCGGAATACCATTCCCTCGAAGTCCCAGAGTGCAATAGCTGGAAGTCAGTTGCCAGTCATTTTCTTAAGCGGCACCATGCTGGGACCCCAAAGCCGGAGCTTGGGCAAGCTCTCTGAATTCGAATTTCAGTTATCTTTATTTAAGGGGAATCGGTGCAATATATCGTTTTAAGACTAGACTGGAACTATTTTCCGTTTAGAGAAGGCAGTGAAAACCAGGATCTAGGGGGTGGGTGGTGGTGTTGGGGGGGGGTCACTCAATTCCCAAGGGCGAGTACTAAGACCAGAGAAAAGGTGGCAAATCCTGTTTATCTTACTTGGAGAGGGCAGGGGCCTGTATGACCTCTTAGTATTCTGAAGAAATTGTCAGTCTTGTGATCCCCATACGCTTTGAATTGAAAGCTTGGAGATGGCAGTGTCGGGAAGGTGGATTTGTAAAGTCCAAAGCCCCTGTCGATCAGTACTCCCTGGGGCTCCAGATCCCCCAACTCTAGAAAACAGTGAGTCAGTGCCTCCACCCTTCGGTTCTTGGAGGAGCCGCTTTGCAGACTCCGGGGCACCGCACTTTAGGCGTCAGGCAGCTCTGCATATGGGCTAGGCGACCTCTACCTTCAGGTCAGAGCTCCGGGCATTAGGCGGCAGCGGTGGGTCATAGGGGCCTCTGTAGTTCCTTCCTCTTGCCAGAGGCTTCATTTTAGATTTTACAATTCCAGTAAATAAATCATTTCCAAGCCGCACGATGTCACTCCCCTCCAGCCCCTTGCAAAACCCCACCTAGCAGGTTCAGAACCGAAGACATCTTCCAAATCTACTGATCCAGATCCACTTAGGTCCAAGCTTTGAATGTTTCTTTGGCCCGCGGCTACCTCCGGCTCCCCTTTTCACTTTTAAATAGTATCTGCAGATTTTCAACCTGGAGGACCTTCCAGATCAATTTGATTTTTTATCTTAAAAGATTTGTTTCTTTTATAACTCCTTTCCTATACCTTGTACCTGCTCCCTCCTTCAGCAGGCCGACCACCAAAACAGCTAGTAAAATACCCATTTCTTTCACGAAGGCGCCAGGGCTTGGCGCAGGTTTGTTTCAAATCCGTGCGCACTAGTCCTTGCGCAGAGACCCCGCGAGTCTCTGCTGTTGGCTGTGCCCTCTTTCAACGACTCTGGGGCTATGTATTTATTTTTGCCCTTTAGTAGAGTTGGTGTCAGCAGAAACCCGTAGGAGGCACAACTTCTAGAAATTGGGAGTGTTCGCAAAAGGAGATTAAGGCTTGCCTCTTACTTATTTAATTGCAGGGGGTGGAAGACTTTTGGGGGAACACCTCCC